CAAAGTTTCCGTAGAGATCGTTGAATTGTAATGAATTTGATGATGGTGCAATTTGTGACCAGATGGCTTTTGAAGTTGGACAGTGAATTAGAAAATGGGCAAATGTTTCAGTTTCTTTTCCACACAGGCAGCAGGTTTCTTTATTTTTGTAGGGCTGTTCTTGGTCATCTGTATTGTCATAACTTCCAAAGAAATGACGATAATGGCCTTGATTTAGTCGTTGAACAGCTTCTAAGAGTCCCTGGCGTTGTGTTTGTCCTTTATAGATCTTTCTCCAGAACTTTGTGCTTTCTTCTTCATGTAGTTCTTCTAAGCCTAGATATGGAGCTTGGAGTTCTTCTTCTGTATAGCTATCTTTGATTTCTTTACTGGCTTCTTCTTCTTCTAGCTTTTGACTTAAGGTGGTTTCATATGGAATCTTAATTTTAATTGGTGCATCCATTTTTTCCATCTTTTTTCTATTATAGTGCTTGAATGCTTCCTCTGTCACTTCATCTCCAAGAATATCTTTAACATGTAATTTCAAAGCCGTTTTTGAATGATGTATACCTTTGACAAACTTTTGACCAATTGTTTCCTTTTTTAGAGCAAAAAAATCTAGCTGGTAATTTTCTGGATCAGGAGTGATCACTTGGAACCATGCTTTCAATGCAGCAATCTCTTTAGCAGTTAAATGTTCAACGAGTTTGATGCTTTTTCTTAGTCTATTTTCAGCTATAACATTTGATTTTTCAATGTGGAAATTCTTTGGAATGACTTCAAATAATAATTTTTCTGGAGTGACCGTACCAATTTTTGTTGACATTTGAGATCCCTTGTTTTGATTTTTAGGGGATAACTTTCTTTTCATAATTGATGATTCTTCCAGTTTATTATAAAAGTTGCAAAACGTTCCATCAAGAAGATGATACCAAGGGAAACTATGAACCATACCTAATTGATAAGCAGCTGGTGGAGCTAAGTTATGAACTGGAGATTCAATTGTTGTATTACCCACTTTTTTCCTTATACGTTGGGCTGGATGAAGATAGAAAACTTTTGAAAGAATATTAGCATAATGTTGGAGCTTATCTCTCAAGCTTATTGCAGCTATATTATTGTTATCCAGGAATGCTGTATAAATGAATTTAGCTCTATGACCCAACAATTGGACGTTTAAATTTTGCAATCCGAAACCTCCTTTTTTTTTTGAAGCAGTTAGAGAATCCCAACCAATGTGTGGAAATTGTTTATTTAACATGGATTCGATTGAATGAAGATGCTTTTGAGGAATGGTTGTGTGAGGATCACGGAAATATATCAAACTCAACACATATGCATTATAACCTTGACATCTTAATGAAACTGGTTTATGGTGCACCAATGGATATAATATCAAAGTTTTTATTTTTTTGACTAAATTATTCCAATCAACTCCATGAACTTCAATTCCTAAAATTGTTGGGTTCTCTTCACTAAAATGGATGCCCTCAATACCAAGTTCCTGATATTCTTGTTTATACAACGTTGAGCTGATATTATTGTTCAAGAACCACAACCTAGATTTGGAGGTATTCAATTTCAATTTTGTATGGTAAGAAAATTGTTTAAATATTTCTAAAAACTTATGAGCATCAGCTGAACCATTTAAAGCAAGTGTTACATCATCAGCAAAAGCTTGGTAATTTGTCTTGGTGTCTAAATGGTTATACTTAATGGTGATACCTTGCATTTGTTTTCTAACTTGATAAAGAAATATTTCTAGTATCATCAAAAACAATAGAGGACTTATAGGTGAACCTTGCCTCACCCCAGATTTGAGAGGTATTGGTCGTGAATGGTGGTTGTTGATATTCAATATGCCAAATTGTTGTGTCAAAAATGCCATAATTATGTTAATTATAGATTGTGGTGCTTTCATATGGTGAAGTAATATCGTAAAGAAACCATGATCGACCAGATCAAAAGCTTTCATCAAATCAATTGACAAAAGTGCTGCAAACTGCTCTTTGAATTGAGGATCTGGTAAATCAAAAAGTGTTGGTACAAGTCTTTGGTCTTTTTTGGGTTGATGCTTTGATATTTTAGCCAATTCTTGATAATTATGCAGAGATGATTCCATAATACGTGATGGTAAAAAACCATATTGATTTGGACCTATTTTATGGTTCATTATATCCAACAAACGTGTGTTCCAACTGTTGGCAATGATTTTAATGGATGCATCCATAAGTGATATAGGTCGAAGTTGCCCACAATTTATAATGCTGTCATCAACTTTAGGCAATAAAGTGATAGAAACTGGTTTCATAACTTGAGGTATAGTTCCTGTTTGTTGGATACTCAGGGATACTTCTTTCAAAATGTTATCAAAACCATCTTGCCAGAATTCACTAATAAACTGGTAACTGATCCCATCAAGTCCAGGACTGGACTGATCCTTTGAGAGAGAATCTAAAGCTGATTTGAGCTCTTCTATTGTTAACGGTTTATCTAATGACTGGTGCTCTGATGGTGAAAAGAATACTGGGTATACTTGTTTGAGATATATTGTTGTTGATTCAGCTGGAGGTTCATCTTCATCTTTTTTGTATAAGTTTTCCCAAAATTTAGCTAGATGTGGTAGCTTGTCGTTATCGTCATCAAGTATTGTTGGTGTTTCAGGATCAGAAGAACTTGATTGGTCAACGCTAAGTGATGGTATTTGAGCTTTTTGTTGCTGAATTTTGAATGATTTATTTAAAGTAGCCCATTCTTGTTGAGTATTAACAGGTGTATTGATAAGCTTTTGTTGAAAAGCCATAATCTGGGTATGATGGGTACCCAACTGATTATCTTTTGATTTGTGAAACTGAAAATAGACATTTTGAATTTGACGGAGGTGAGCTGTGAGATCAGTGATAAACTTAGAATATTTCCAATTTGTGGACAATTGAGATTTGCAGTATTGGTTATATAAAGATTTGAATTGAATCAATTGACGCCATTCGGGGTCTTTAACCCAGTTCATATTTATTCTAAATCTTCCTCTAGGTATTGATGCTGATGATAAACCATTGGTTATGCTTAGTTGGATGCTTTTGTGCGTACTAAAAGATTCTTTTTTGGTACCATGTTGCAAGTGGAACTGATTATGCCCTCCGTGGATACCTGATCGTCCATATACCCTATCTAGTCTTCGTTTAGCCATTTCTGGTTTTGAAGATGCTTCGTTAGAAGTTTTATTTGGATAATTAGTATATCGGGTATTGATATCCTTGGTTTGGGCCATATATAACATATCTTTGAATTGAAATTGCGTGCACAAGTTGTCAAATATTTCATAAAGGGCTTCATCTTTTTTATCTAATTTATTTTTTGAAGAATCCTCAGGATTGACAATAAAATTAAAATCACCCATTAAGATCACTTGTTTTTCATGTTTTGGATGATTATCAAGCACAGATGAAAGCTCTTTAAGGAGTTGTAATTGGTTTGATATCTCTTGGGGCCCATAATAGTTGATGATCAAGAGTTCTTGATCAGGGAGATAGACATCAGAAAGATATAGGCTTAGATTTGAGGACGTTATCTGCTCTTGGATAAAATTTGGATAACTGATTGGTATATTACTGCTTTTTTTCACGAGAATTTTAGATCTGTTAGGTGGATCTCCAATAATGGTAAATCTATCTGAATCTAACAAATGCTGGTGAAGGTTTTGTGGCATGTCTGCCTCTTGGAGGAGCAATATTTGAGATTTTTGATGATTATATTTTGGTTTTGGGACGCTAGTTTGATTCATCAAGTCATCAAAAATGGTATCCAACCTCTTGAGAGTAGATGGATGTTGTATGTTGATACTAGATAATCTGAGCAGCTCTTTTTGCTTCAGCTGTTCGCTAGGTCCCGAGCCTAGACTTGATGATGATGATGATGATGATGATGATGATGATGATGATGATGATGATGATGATGATGATATTGTTGTTGTATGATTAGAATTATTTAAATTAATTGCTTCTATATCTCCAGGAAGAGATATTTCACAATTTTGATTATTATTTAAATCACTATTCATGAAAATGATTATTGAGGTGGTGTATCACCAGGTTTGGGATTTGAATCTCCTCCTAGTGGGTTACCTATGTCGTCTCCTGCTGGTAAATTAGGTTGAATTGGTTCTTGATGAATTCCGTCATCGTCTATTTGCATACCACTGTCATTTGCTTTCTCAGTTTCAGAATCGGATTCTTCTGTGTCAGCTTCAGATCCTAATAAACCACCTTGGGAATCACCAGCTTTTGTTCCTAGTGGGTCTATCGGCTTATTATGTTGTGTTGGTTGATTTGGAATCAACCAGCTTGGCGCATTTTTGATGGCTTTTTGGTAATCTTTTGGATCGATGTTGTCAAAATCTTCCCAAATTCTCTTTAGTCTTTTGGTATTAGGTGAAGGATCAGGAGCTGATTTGTTCTCAGGATTCCTTTCTGGAGATCTGCCTCTTTGGATTTGTACTGGAGGTTTTCCACCATTTAATTTAGACACAATGGTAAATGACTTTTTGAAAGAGAATGTATTACTTTCTCCTAGGTCTTCAATATGACCTTCTTCAACTTGTTGAATTAAAGATCTTGAAGCATATTCACTGAATATGTGATCATCAAGTTGATTATCTTGTGGTTTATCTGAATTATTCAGATATTTAACATCTGTTGTTCCTTCATTTGTTAGTGAAGCTTTTTCAGTGGTGATGATATTTTCCATATTTTCAGGAATTGAATTTTCTTTGGTGGTTGAATCCTCCTTTTCTGAATCCATGGATACATCTTCTGTGTTATTATTATTTGACTTTTGTTGTTTCTTATCTTTATCATTTTGACCAGATTTGTTGATAATACTTTCTTCTGAAGTGGTTGATGGTTTTGAAGCTGGTTTTTCAATGTCCTTTTCACCTGGGACTTCTTCTGAATTTGAACCTCTTTCTGTTTCTTGTTGTTTCTTTTGCTGATTAAAAGCAATTGCATACTTATTAACCTGTTTTGGTGTTTGAGGAATATTAGTTGTTGCTACGGTTGGTCTTGAGCTTTTTTTCTTTGGGGTTTGACTGAAGCCATCCTTTTCCATATTGGATTTTTGATCTTTTGTTCCTTTTGATTGATTTACTTTTGCAGATGATGATGATGATGGTAATTGAGATTTTCCCCCTTTTGTTTTCTTAAACTTTTGAGATTGAATCATCTTGATTCTTTCTAATGTGGCCAATGATGCATTACAGTTGGATTGATGGTGGCCTGCTCTTGAACAAGTTGTACAAATTTCAGGACAGTTTACCTTATAGTGCCCCAGTTTATCACAACCGGTGCACTTAAGGATATCCCTATTCAAAACTTGTAACCTGGATTCAAAGAGACTCTTATTTGGAGGTCCAATAAAATTAGTTTCTTTCCAATCAACAACTGCTTGTAAGCAATGAGTGAATTTATCATCTGGTTTGGAGCTTGAGACACCATTCTTTATAATTAAAGTCGATCCAATTAATTGATAATTGAAACCTTGTAGATGCGAAGTTAAAGCTTCAAGATCACTTTTGAAGAATTTTGCGGAATATGACAATTGCACCATCAACGGCTTTGCTATATTTGGGTACCACGCTTTAGTAAGTTTAAAGCTGGTACCATCGACACTTGTCATTGTAGTGATGCTTAACTGAGCATCCATTATTTCAACCATATCATCCATAATTGTTTGGTGTTCTTTTGCATAGAATTTATTACAGTGGTTAATAGGATATACTAAACCTGGGACATTTGGATTCATATAAATGGAGGTAAACTTTAAACCCTCTAAGAGTAACCATGCTTCATAAACATCTTTTTGAAAAGTCTTCAGCTTTAGGACGTCTTGATTACCTTTTTTT